TAGCCCAATTAATTCCTTTCTATAGCACTTTCTCCACACAAAAGGGTATTAAGAGTACTGAGGCATTTGCAGGCACAAATCCCCAACAGATCTTCTGGGCCAAGTCGATCTCTGCCTCCCAACCCATGATGACATGTCATATTGATGGGCGTAAATTTAAGGGTTTAGTGGATACAGGCGCAAATATGTCTATAATTAAAGACTCTAAGTGGCCATCAGACTGACCCACTGTGTTCCCCGCCTTGACCATCTTGGGGGTGGGGGGTATGCAAAGACCTAGACAGAGCAAGCATCTGCGTACGGTATTGGGACCTGAGGGACAGACTGCTAGGACTGCACCCTTCATAGCTCCCATTCCGTGTACCTTGTGGGGAAGGGATGTCCTCGGTCAATTTGGTACCACTGTACAGATAGCAACAGCAAACAATCAGGTTTTTCAGTAAGGGTCATTGGTCAGCCGTTCCATGAACTTATCAAACTAAAATGGAAGACAGACAACCCGATATGGGTGGACCAATGGCCCCTGAAGAGGGAACGGTTAGGTCACCTGCGAGACCTCGTACAGGAACAACTAAACGCTGGACATATAGTACCAACTTCTAGCCCATGGAACACTCCGGTGTTTTGCATACCCAAGAAGAGCGGCAAATGGCGTTTACTACAAGACCTCAGAACAATTAATGCAGCCATCGAGCCAATGGGAACGCTGCAACCAGGACTTCCTTCCCCTGCCATGCTACCTGCGGGATGGCCACTAGTAGTAATAGACTTGAAAGATTGTTTTTTTACAATCTTTTTACATCCAGAAGATGCGCCTCGCTTCGCTTTTTCACTTCCAGCCTACAATCATGCGGAACCCATGCAAAGATACCACTGGACAGTACTGCCTCAGGGCATGAAAAACAGCCCGATGATTTGTCAAACAGTGGTAGCCAACATCATACACCCTGTTCGAAAACTCCACCCTTCAGCCATCATCTATCATTATATAGATGACATCCTGATAGCAGCAAAACACGGGACCGAACTACAATCCACCTTGACTGCCTTAACTGACGCCATCCAAAAAGCAGGTCTGCAGCTTGCCCCAGAAAAAATTCAACGCACCTAACCTTGGACCTACCTCGGATAGAGGATCACTCAACAGGAAATCATGCCACAACCACTGACTTTCAAAGTAACAGACACTATGACCCTGAATGATTTGCAACGGCTTTTAGGAGCCATTAACTGGCTGAGGCCTGCCTTGGGGATCACAACAGAGGAATTGCACCCCCTCTTCGAGCTACTTAAAGGTGACCCAACTCTCACATCTATTCGATCCCTAACCCCAGAAGCAAAACAAGCTCTGGAAGTATGCTCCCAGGCCATCGAAAACAGGCAAAGCAGACGATGACACCCTGACCTGCACATTCGCCTTGCCATCATATCCAGCAAGTTCCAACCTTTTGCTGTCCTTTTCCAATGGGATCAGGCAGAATCCGACCCTTTGAGAATTCTAGAATGGTTATTTCTTCCCCACTCTCCACCTGTTTGGACCATTAATGACATGCTTGCTAAGCTCATCATGAAAGGTAGAGGACGTCTGCAGGAGATGGATGGAAGGGATCCTGAGACGATCTACATTCCAGCCACAAAAGACAACTTAGACTGGCTTCTTGCAGAGGACGCTGGGTTTCAGACTGCATTAGCGGACTTCCACGGTAATATTTCCATTCACTTCCCGAAACATAAACTCTGGGCGGAAATAGGAAATCTACCCCTGATGGCCATGCGCCGCTGCAAACTACGACCAGTAAATGGAGTCACAGTCTTCACTGACACGTCTGGATGATCAAAAAAAGCCGCCGTGACATGGAAGAACCCTGCCACAGGACAGTGGGACAATAAGGTACAAACCTTGGACCAAGGTTCTGTACAGGTTTTAGAACTAGCAGCTATCCGCATGGCATTTGAATTGTTCCATGATCAACCTATGAATGTTGTCACAGATTCTCACTATGCAGCAGGGTTGGTCTCACGTCTCGAAGCCTCCTTCCTTCGAGATGTCACTAATCCTCACTTATTCACAGAAATTCGTACCATATGGTTTCTTATCAACCACAGAAAATTTGATTTTTACATAATGCACACTCGGTCACACACAGAACTTCCAGGACCCATAGCAGAGGGCAATCAAAAAGCTGATGCAACTGCTATGGTAACTACAGTTCCCAAAATTCTGGAACAGGCTAAACTCTCACAACAGTTCTTCCACCAAAATGCACGTTTATTAAAGAAACAATTCCAAATTACAATAAACCAGGCCAGAGA